TACGCTCCAATAATCCGTATAACATCAATGATAGAACTGGATGGAGAAAGATCGTTAGAGTGTGATGCACAAAGGTCACGACCCCCAGCACTTTTTTTGATGTCATAGGTCGGGAAACAAGCATATGGAATACCAGGTGGTTAGCAATTAGCGCCGTCCATAGTCACTTGGCATACTAAAGGAGTTACTAGAAAGGCGTAGCCGACTTCTTCTGGGATTTAAGAAATAGATAGAAGGATGGGGCCTCCGGTAACCTCACTCACACGGCGAAACACAATGGAAGTGTTGTTTCACGCCGGTTTTCTGTGAGGCCGTAGTATTGCTTCGGTCGAACCAGCCTATTCGTGCCTAAGCATGGTTAGCCATGTGTTGTCAAGTCCCCAATCACCAAATTAGTTTATCTATCATAACATTAACGTCCATCAAATTTCTGTAGTCTTCCACTGATAATGTTCACACCGATTGCATTCCGGCTTAAAAATATCATGTATAGTTAAACTATCAGTTAATTACTTAACACATTTAGTATCGTTCGTGTTCATTGAACTGAGAGAACTGACAGATCGATTAGAGGGACGAACTGACCTACAACTTAAGGGTAGGCATGTGCAACTAACAAATTTTACATGGAGTGAAAAAAACCAGTAAAAGTAAATTTTTACAATGAGAACGGCTGCCTCGATTCCCTTATGGAACAACTCTTTGTTTGATACCCAAATTGTTGTCCCGAGGGTCGCAGGGTAAGCGCAATCGGCCCAAGGCAAGGGAGGGAACGGGGTGTTTTTAGTCAGTAAGAGTCTGAAACTCTCCCTCGCTTTACCCTGGGCGGGAGACGTCATTTAGCAATTTTTCCCTGAGAAAAAAAACATTGTATGTATGTAAACGCACTAACGATGCAGAAAAACGCTAGGAAGGGTCAACGTTTTTAAAAATCAAAAAGAATCCTCGTAATCTTTTCAATAATCTGTTCCATCCTCAATGAGGGCTTTGAATGGACTTCGTACATAGAAGCCGTGCTAAGTCTAGCAACCACTGGACTAGCGGATCAAGACAGTACAAACCACTTAAAGTGATATACTAGTTGTTGACCGTAATTTAAGACAGAACAATTGCAGATTACTCATGATGATATACTTGTATTATAGTTGTCGTTTATGTAACAGTTTCTTGAAATAAATTTTAAAATATGACTTCAATTCGGTCAATTTCGTCGAATTGCGAGTATAGATAACTTAGTTTCCTTTTTTGAATGAAATTTAACCGAAACAATATTTGAAGGTCTCCAAACATCTTTACCTGTCTTAAGGAAACCAGTATGTTCTAAAATAACCTCCTTGCCTTTGACTTTACCTTTTCTTGTTAGTTTAGGCCGGCAAAAAGCATATTTGGTTGGAACGGTATAAGTGTCATAAGAACTTTCCCTATGGTACGATAATATTTTTATGATAATATTACCGTGTTTACGCGGCCATACAAACTTTCAAGTCCAAAACCATGGAAACTACTGAACCGATTTTAATGAAACTTTTTTAATAAACATGCATTTTTTCAATAAATCTATAAACAGGCAGATTTGAAACCACAAAGTTACATTGTCCGTCAGTAAAAATAGGTCGTCTTTCCTAAATTATGAATTAATATGGAAACGAACAAGAAAGGAACGCTAGATTTACACTTTAAAATGAAATTAAATCTGTGTAGGGCGACAGGGAGTGTAACTGGCTAAAAACCACCACTTTTCTTGACCTGCGCCAGGCCGGGGCCGAGGTACTTTATTGCACTGACACCCGCAACCCCGGCTGTCTTTCTAACATTTAAGTCTTTTTTTATGAATTTATACGACAACTAAAAACACGGTAAATTATTTAGAGAAATACATATCTACAAATATTAAGTATATCGTGAAACCAATGAATTTTTATTTATATATAAAATACTTTGCCCTACACTAGGATTTTTTCCTGTGTAGTGGGTGCGTTTACAAACATACAATTTCACATACACATCACACCCGGAACAACAATTTTTGGATCACACAATCAGGAGTCAATGAATACATGTGTTAAATTATTATTTCACTATGTTAAGTACGCAAGTACTACGCAGTACGAAACATAATTTAGAGCCTGAACAACAATACGGAAATGTGTACCCATGTCACCTGTTAAGTACCTATTTGTTATGAATTGGATTCATAAAGAAAAAAGTAAATACATTCAAATTTAAAACACAGTTTACACAAGTGAAAACGAAATATTCATAATGAATCATTAATTACTGTGAATATACGAAGTATAGCATAATTACTAATTTTCTTTTTAATCTGAAGTCGAAAAGCGATCGAACGTAAGTAATCGGAGCATGATAAATAGAAATAACGTGGCATTGAAGGTTTATAAGGAAACATTAATATGGGCATTAGTTGAGAATTAATTGAGTGCAGTCACGATATATACAGATACACACTAATAGCGATTTTGTATTCTTTCTAACTGAGTTACTTACAATATTTTTACTAGAAATCGCTGAAAAACGTTATGTTCAAGTATGGAAAGTTGTATGTTATTTATTTTTAAACCCCGACGCAAAAAGAGGGGTGTTATAAGTTTGATGTGTCTGTCTGTGGCATCCTGGAGCCTAAACGGGTGAAGCGATTTAAATTTAGTTTTTTTTTGTATTAAAGGTGACTTACGTGCGAGTGTTCTTTTCCGATTTTCGTCAAACATGTCTACATGTTTGACGAAAATCGGTTGAGCCGTTTTGGGGGGTTAAATGGGGAAGGGTAACCGAAGGTCTGCAAATATACTCGAGTGGGGTCTCAAATGAAAGAGCACTGAAAGGGAATGTTAATGACTTAATCCATAGGATCGGTCCCTAACGCCACGTTTTCTTTTAATTATTACTTTTTAAAGGAATATTAGATTGTTTGTCGGTGGTTTTCTAAATTTTAAATTTATAATTATATACTATACCTACCTACTAGCGATGCCCGCCCCGGCTTCGCACGGATGTAACGATGATTGTAAATTTCGCCACTATTTAATGGACGTTGTTACTTACCTATTATCAAATCTATACTATACTTAATATTATAAAGCTGAATAGTTTGTTTATTAGAACGCGCTAATGTACGGAACTACTGGTTTGAATTTAACAATTATTTTTGCTATAAAACATCATGCAATGATCTAAAGGAGCTGAGCAGAGGGTGAAACCGCGTAAGAGTAGCTAGTAATTCATATTATTTGTTTACGAATATTTGTGCCTAAAATCTTCTTTTAGTCAAACAGTGCCTATTACAGTGACTATTAAAAGATTCCGGAAGGACCAAGACAACATTGGGTGATCAGAATGCTCGTTTGCCGCCTAATCCCCAAAAAAATATTGCGGAAATAAAACCTCAATACATTCAAAGTTTAAAAAAAATGAGTAACAAACATCCATCCACTTACTCACGGGTCAGAAACTTGGTTATAACAGCACAGACACAATAAACACGGCACAATGCACGTAGTTCTTTCTCACACACGTAGCTACTAGCCAGGTAAACAATAAAAACGTCAACAAAATAAACTGAGGAGCGGTTAAAGATCAATTCAATTAAGAAGGAACGTAACCAATTTACTAAATGGACAGAAAACAAAAGGCTAACGATACCAATAGATATCTATTTTCGATCTAACTCGCGAACTGTCTCCATCGAAGTAATTGTCGGTAGAGCTATTTTATCAAGACTTTCACGTGTAGGTAATCTGTGTCTAGTTTATATCTGTCTGCCACTTTACCTAGGTACAGATACTTTCTTAGCTTTAATTAACTCTTTAAGTGCTTTCTTTTTGCTACTGGGTTTTTTAGAATAAAGTTGTTTTAAACATTTTTTTTATTAGACTACGTTACGAGTTCCAAACTTAATCCATGATAAAATATGATTGAGGTTTAAAATATGATTCCTCTAAATTCATAACAAATAAATATTATGCGAGTAACCTAAATACATAAAAGCGTGCAACAAAGACATCAATACGTGTCCTGTTTTCGAAAAAAATCGATAAAGGCCAAAGTATTATAGCAACGCACAGCCCTTTCCTTTATTTTCCGTTCCACCGACTCCCGTTTCCTTTTTACCGACGGACCCCTTTGAGCAAAATATTAGATTACCTTTAAACAACATTTTGTTTGAAATTTTAAAAGATATATTTAAACTTTTATACTCTGACAACATTTACGTCATATGGAGAAAAGATATAGAAAATTTTCATACACTACACAGATTAATTCATCAAACCTCAATCGAACATGCGTGCGGTCGCGCACCAATTTTGTTTCGAATTACCACGATTCAGCATAATTTAATTTCTTAAGTAAAAATATTAAATAAGTACAATGTTTATAGCCATAAATACATCTAGCGACAAAAATTAATACGATTAGTGTGAACGACAACAAAGGAAACTAAGGGCGTGTCCACGAAAGAAAATAGGTTAGTCCATTTGGTGCACTACTTTCAGAATATTAATGTTTCTGGAACATGACATATAAAACAGCGTCAAAATTATATTTTTATCATTTGTATGTAACGCAGTCGGAATATACAACTCAATATTTGATAAGAAACAAAAGACTAATGTATGCTTCTAATGTGATAAGTCAAAGATATTTGTTGCTCAATCGGATAATAAAGTCACTTTAGAATTTGTTGAGAGTAAAGGCCTTACAATTAATCTGTGGTATGACCGAAGCATAGATATTGCTATTTCTAGACGTGCGTCGATCAGAAAGAATTATATATAAGAGCGTTAAGCTAATGGAAATAAGGGTTAAAATAAAAACGATTGTAATCTCACATTTCCATCACATGAATCAGAATGTTTTGAGCAAGACATTGAATGAATCTATTTATAGTAAAAACTACTTGCCTATCAATGATCTGTATGTTTTACTACCCCAGCTTTCAAACGAGATGTGTAAATAAACCTGTTAATGTATGCTAAGTAACTTACTCGACGGATGGAACTTGGAGACGTCTGAGCCGCATTTCTCCCTGTTGTAGAGAAGTTTCTTGCAAACCCGCCATGGTCCGAAGTAACCCTGGTCGAAGTTCGGGTTGTCTACTGCAAAAGAAAAGAAGCATAATTTAATGAAAATTCTAACATATTAGAAATATTATATCATATATGTATAATATTGTTTATTAGTATCCAAAATATATTCAACCAGCATTTTGAAAGAGTACCAGTTCTGATGTACTGAACTCAGTTCAAATAACGATTCGGTAGCAACTCTGTAAACCGTGTGCCCATTGCATAAAATATACCTTCATAGGAAGGTACTACAAACCACCACCGTGCATTGTTAATTGACATGCTCCACAAGCCATTAAGGATGATATAAATAAATATATATTTTATAATAACAGCTTCCGCCCGTGGCTTCGCACGCATATTAATGTAAAGTATCCCAGGATTTTAAAAACAGCAGCGTTTATAAAGCGGTAGCTCGACTATAATACACAAATCAGTCTAATTTATTTAGGAACATTGTAGCTATCTATCAGTGAAAGAATTTTGGAATTCCGACCAGCGGTTTTAAAGATTGAACACTACATACAAATAAATTTTTTACTTCTTTATAATACTAGTATTAACAGTCATTAAAAAAAAACTGACAGGGCCCTCAAATACGTCACATCAAACTTATAGGACCCAATTTATTGGCACGTTTAAATCTAAGTAGAAAGACTTGATATAGGAAAGTAGCGCCCGGCGTTCGGCGCATATCACTGGAAAGCCGCAAAACCACGCTGATAAACAGCATTTTGCTATCACTTAGCTAGCTTTTACGATTTCCTTTGAATATAAATCTTAATTACAACAGTTGTTCTATTTAAGACTAATGGTTTTCAAACTAAACGAAACCTTGCACTGCTCCACATCAATAATTTCTTGTGTCTCATACAATACTAGGCTTAAAATAAATAATGGGCCACTCATGAAGCAGGTCAAGGAGATATGGAAAAAATCTTATAGACACGTGTGACGTAACGTAAAAATATTGACTTGGCATCCAAACGCAAATCATTGGCGACCTCAAAACCACCTACACATATACATAAGTTAAACAAAATTGACGTAACAATACCTTAATAAAGCAAACATGTTTTGCTATGAGCCCTCAATGTGGTCGAACTACTGGAAAGGTGTCTATTGAAATATCTTGACATTATATTTTAGTTAGTGTCCTAAATACAGAACATACAAACTCGTTTGTACAACGTCCATATTTCAACAGACCTTGCAATACTACACGATATTTCAATATGAATAGTTGTTACTTGTATTCATTAATGAACGCATCATAGAGTTTGAAACAAGGTCGTCTCGGGTTACTACTAGGGAAATAGCTGTGTTTAGGAATACTATGACAATCAACCTATTAGTTGAGCTGAACACATTGAAGGTTCGCAAATCTGTCTGAAGGTCGGCGACACGCTAAGAGGAGGCCCTCGTCACGATTTCCTGGCTGCATAATAATTTAATTCATAGTGTGTTGCGAAGAGACCTTGCTAATTGTCTACCTCCTCTCTCAACTCTTTCATTTAACTACATTTACGGACGTAAAACCTCCGACAAAGACCTTCCGCGGAAAAAAGTATTATCGATTTTCCTATTACGTCTTTGAATATTTGATACGAACGTGGTCTCTTAATAGGAAAACAACTTAACGAATGACTCATGTAAATGCAATTTTAATGGCTTTGTTTCTATACCAAATGGAGCTGATGGAAAATATATCGTTAACAAAATATACTAAGTGTACATAGAATAATATGTGAAGGTGCTACACAGCTACACACAACTATTTGACTCTTGAAGAATCTGCGTCGATAGAAGGCACGTTTTGCGTTCACAGAGAATATAGCAATTGTTATAATCGAAGCAGCAGTTATATGAGTACTCAGAAAGACAGTGGCGAAATCAAAGGAAGGCCATATGCACTGCATTAATGATGGCATGTCATGAGTCATGTGTCAATTGATTACACGATGACCGACATTCACCTAGTGTTCGGGTCAACAATGCACTTGACTGGACACCATATATTGAAACATTATGTAGCGTGACGGAAATAAATGATACCGTATAGTACCCAAGTATGTTCGCCGTGCAAACGTTACCTGAAATCTATCCACCATCAATTGTTTTGCACGAACAAGACTAGCAAACTTAACCTTTTAATCGATAAGGTTATTTTTTTATTAAAGCGAGGTAGCACTTGTCAGTTAAAAGAGAAAACCAAAATGTAGCTTAAAGTTTTGCATAGCAACAAAACATTAGGTACGCAAGTCTATGGATGTAAGCGTATCAAAATTTAAAATAGCTTTACGTAGGAATTTGCTATGAGTCGTTTGAGAGGGTCGAAGAAATTCAATAGTGTATCGAAGTATATGAACGGTACTCCGCAGAAGCTTCAATATTATATTTATAGTCTAAAAGAAGACAGAAGCTAATCAATAAACTACGGTTCATATAAAAAGCAAGTAAGGATAGAAACGAATTGCTACGATAAAAGTATTGTGAAAGTTTTCAAGCTTACATAAACCATAAAGTTAGATGGAAGACCAAAGATTTAATTGCATGTTTCAAAAATATCCATACGTGCTTACATAATTTGTATTATTATCCGTCTGTTAGCCCGTCCATCTGAAGATAGTGCATCAACATAGTATTTAAAATTATTCGTGACTGCTATTGTAATTTGCAGCGACGAAGCAATATAACTGTGAATGTTAAAGAACTTTGCGGAACAATAAGTCATAAAGTGCACCGATAAATTTTACGATTCAGGCCAGTCCCGGTAAACCGATAGCCTAGATTTAGGACCAATAGGTAGTACGCGTCTTAGCACCTATCAACATAAAGAAATCGGATGTATTAATAAATAACCATAAAAGATAATGTTCCATAGAATATGGCCCCGAATAGTTCTGATGAAACAGAAGTGGAACAATATACCAATTTCTCGGTTTATGATATCTATCACGACTGTCGTAATAAAAACTCGAACCGTAAAAACAGTATTGTAAATGGCTTAGAAGAAACGTATATATCAGAAACATCTGCACGTTAAGTCAAAACCATAATTAATCAAAACAACAAACTTGGCAATGTGTATTTGTGGTTGTAAAGAGATGCATAATAGCATAACAGTCTTTTTTACAAAATTAACTGTTATAAATACCAGAGTAGACACTTCATTTAGCATCAATGCCACGGACAATGATGACAGAGAAGACTTGGAACTAAACAAAAACATTTAGAGGGAAAAAATGTTCTTTCTTAGGACCTTCGCGTATCGTGATTGTGTTTGAGCCGAGGTCGTTGCCTGTCAGAGAAAAAATGGCGCTGTCATGCTTACCATTGATGGTTTCGATACGAACTGTCAGACCAACAACGTTACAATATTTCTAACTTTGAGCAAATTACACATGTCAGGCTTTAGGAGCTTAGAATGGGATAATCCAATCTTTCCCCTCCATCTATTTCTTCCCAATCCTTAAACCTCCAGTATTCTAATCCCAGAAGGCCGGCAAAGCATTCCTTTAGTGTTATGGGTGACTTTGTTCTGTATTCTGAGTGGGTGACATAAAATATCTCAGAATTGGCTAACTAAAGGAGGCTATCGATATACAAGACTAGTTACTCTCGCGCAATTTCACCAGCTGCTCGGCTCCTGCAGATCGTAGCGTGATGTTTTAGCCTATAAGCCTTTCTCGATAAATGGACTAACAAACAAAAAATAATTGTTCAATTACAACCAGTAGTTCCTGAGTTTAGCGCGTTGAAACAAACAAAGTCTTCAGTTTTATAATATTAGTATAGATTTAAAAAGTGAGCTGAATACAAAAACAATGTCGTCAAGTAAAATAAACTATTTGTCTAGGGAACTAGCACATGTTTGTCTTGCAGATAGCAATTAAAGTAGGTACAGACCTTGAGGTGTGTGAATAGATAGCTTTAAACACCTACAAATTCACTTAATTTTGATAAACATACATGGTACTGTGACCGCATAGTAACTGCAACGGCTTTCAACGATTTATTATTCCGGTTAGACATGCATCGATTCTAAACTAATAAGCTATCATTTTTCTATTTTGGACGATAGATACCGTTATTATAGTGGGCGTGGACCTGTCGCCTGTGAACCAATGTAATGGCGCAATTATACAAAAGTATTGTTGTTAACTTTAATTTTATGCTGTAATTTGAGCAACTGATAGTTTGAGTCTTACTACATTTTTTACATATAACCGTGAAAGGCAAAAGCATCCAAGACAAAAATTATCAAACTGGGACCAGGTTTTTGGTGTGATTTCTTATTGGAATGATACAGAGATATCCAACTAGCGGTTACCTCTACTTAAAAAACTACTCAGTTATATTCTTTAGTTGATTACAAATATTGTAAGTATAGTTTTACAATCCAAACCCAAAATTATTAAATAAAAAGAACTTCTCAAATCACGTGACGTGAATGTTGATCGAACATCAAAATTAAATCCGCCTCTATAACGTACATATCGAATACAAAGTGATTTAGCATTCAAGATATTTTAATTTACATATTCTAGAAAGAGGTTGAATGCACGATGTCTGTATAAATTAAAAAAAAACACGACTCCATAACCACGACCGTTGGCAGCCTGGCACATCTCCCACAAGTTTTGTCACAAAGGTCTCGTGGGTCAATAACCCGTTTGGCGGGCGTGCCACATTTTTTAATGCACTGTATATACCGACCCAAGTAAACATCGAGAACAGCCTACGAGGTAATTATTACCATAGTGCTGTTTACCGTGCAGTTTAAATTGTAACTTTATTCTATGTTAACTACAGTTACTTGCGCAGATAAACCGTTCTAACGCTTGTCGCTTACTTATATCTAGTATCTACTATTATTAAAAAGGAAGTAAAAGTGAAAATCTATTGCGAAACAGCAATTTGAGCAATTTCAATTGCTTTTAAGAAGATAAGTCAGTATAATGGCTGAACGGTACAAATGCAAGATGGATTTATAAAAAGCTATCATAGTTCTGAGAAAAAAATACGACTATTATTTTCCCGTGAAAAGGAGGTGAGTTTCTGAGATTTGACGGGCAATCATTGATGTTATCTTATAAATAGTTGAGGTACGTTAGAAAGGCGAAGGTATCAAAGGTAACAGTAGACGTAGGTAGGAGCGCGGTTTGCCCCACTTCCAATGCGCTTGAGCTTGCTTGGGCCTGCGACTTCCGTTGTGTGCTCCAAGATAAAAGGCACACACCCATGTATAACGCACACTCACTTGTATTGTTTACATAGCAATACCATGAAGGTTGAATACCCAAAAAAGTAACGACAAAGTTTGGTATACATATTTCCTTTTTTGGATTAAGAAGATACAAAACGCGTAGGAGTCGAATTCTTTTTAAATTTGTCATTCGAATTTGTTTATGGAATCAATAACTTTTTAAGATATGATATATCCAACTCATTAAACTTAATATTTTCATGTTTTAATAATCGGTATGCATTACATTGGTATTTAATTACGGTTTCGCTTATAAACAGCCTAATATCTAAACACGACGCGTTCTTAGTGTGCTTTCTACCTGACACTACATAGTATCATTTCAATCTGCATCTAACGCTAGCCTAACATCTATAAATATAATCTTTCAATCCGGTTTTTGTAGTAACTGTTATTTACTGATGAAACTATTATGAGATAAGATACGTTTATGGCTTTCTTATAACCTGTGGCTTCCCTTACATAAATAATAGCGTAAGTATCTTCATTACTTTGGTGTAATCGAATTAAACGTGAATTCTATACAAGTAGAGTAACCACTTGCGAGTGCAACCGGAATAACATACTAGAGGTTCGGATGACTCGGAGTAGAAAAAGGAACGAGTTAGTTTCAATTAAGACTGCCTGACATTCGTTCTCGCCTCACACTGGGTGGGAAAAGATCTTGGATGATTTCCCACGAGCCTACATTAAATTAAGAACTTATCCATTACGCTTATGAAAAAGTCCGTGCTTTCGAGGAAAATGGTAGAAAGTCGATATTCATATCAAAATAAAGGACTTATTACAAAAGGCCTCCAATAAAAACAGGTAAATCTATCTTAGCTACAAAAATGATCTAGAGCTGTAAAATGGAACCTTTGAAAATACAGTTTTAAAGTGAAAGTATAATGCTGAAGGTGTGTCTATTGGATCACTGGCGAAGACAAGTAAACCTTTTTGCTACCAAAATGAAATACCTACGTTATTTACTGTCCGCCATTTTGCTAGAAAAACCACCACCACATGTTAACAAGCAAATATGTATTCTAATTTCTATAGTGACAAGGTATTTATTTGCATTTTAGTACCCAATCCACCACCAAGAAACTATTTTCAATACTTACAATAGTACCCAGGAACTGAGAGTTGAAAGTCAGAATCATCTGAAAGAATTAGTTTATACCAATCTAAGTGCAAAGCAATTACTAACAGTGTCATTATTGTAAATAGGTTTGCCAAAAAGTTACTAGAACAGACAGATAAATAGAGCAGCCATTTATTAAATTACATTTATAAGGGGTAAAAATAAAAATGGGAACTCTCCTATTAATAAGACTGTTGTCTATCTGTCTGCCTGAATCATTTTGTCTGTCTCACTTGGCCATTTTTTTTATAAATTTCAAACTTTTTGGCACCCAATTTTTTTCTACTTGTAACACAGAAATGTATTAAAAATCTTTGTTAAGTATTCTTTATACAGTGCTGGTTGATTGAGATAATTATATTTATCCTTTTTCTTAATTTATAAAACAAGTGAAGGAATTGGTTCAGACAAATAAGTAATTCAATTGTAATCATGTTTTCATGTTAAATATTTTGTAATGTTGACTCAAATATGAGTGAGTTCTATAACAAAGGAAACTAAAGGACAAATTATAATGACAAACATTTAATAATCAATTTTTTCCCTGTATTGAGTAGGAAAATATCTAAGTTAATTACTTATATGGCTTGCTAGAGGATAAAGGAATACCTGCTAAACCAAGAGATAATCTGTTATTTGTTTTAAAGTAGGTATATATTGCTTAAATTAATAATTATTAATGTTATAGAACAAAACATGTTTTGTGTAGTCAATATCAAATGTATATATATTTATGTCTGGTACATATATTCCTGCCATCATCACATGCTTAATTGAGCTGAAAGTAAAGTTGTATTTTTTTTTTCGTTAACCTCCAGTTCTAAGATTGATTCCATTCGGATCCTTGCAGTTTTCTGATATTATTTACTCACAATTAAGTAGTGTTTAGTTCAAACGTTCGCATTTAAAATATATATAAGTCAGTTATGTACAGACTTAGAATATTCTGTGACATTTCTTGATAGTTGGAGTCGCAACTAAATACATACAAAATAGGTACAAAAATAAATACAAAATAGGTCAGTAAGCTAGACATAAAGTCTATGGTACTTTATTTTACAGATTTATTGGACATACATAATATTTTTTTTAAATAAAGGCTTGATAACATGAGAAGAGCTTGTTTCAAGTTATAGCGGGACTCTTATTCATGAGCAGAGAATGTCGGGAGTAAGTAGTTATTTTCAATATTTTCAGTATGTCTCATGTTACATACAAGAAAGCTGGCATGAGTTGTTGATTGTGTTGCAGTCAACACATTGGAAACAAACAGAAATAGAATCAATTCAAACTTATTCCTATTGATCACTTTTAGTTTTGAGTAGTTTTTACTGCAATTAAGCTAATGTTTTGTAACCCCTAATGATATATAAATGTTATTTAAGTAGGTGATTATTATTAACTTTAATAACTATTAATCATTGACTCATCTAGACAGTGGGTAGGTCATTTGATACAAGGCTTTATGTGGGAAGTAGGTATGATAAATTGAAACAAATGCCTACAATAACTATATAATTAAAATAAAAACATGTAACTTAGCATAACTGATGAGCAAGCTGACTCTAGTTTGAGTCCTTTTTAAGCTTGAAAGTATTATTTCATGTGTGAAAATGGTTTTGTGTCAACTGTCGAAGCACCTCTTTCTACAAATGGGAAAAATATAGTAACTATTCTGAAATTGTGTTATATAAATACCTAGAATGAATATACTTACAGCTATGGAAGTTTCCCCAAGTAGGTAGACCAACAGCAATGGCACCTACAACGAAGCAAATGAAGCCCAATGCGACCACCGCTATTGAATACAGAGCCTTGCCACTGGCCATGGCTGCATGTCAGCCGACTTCATGGAATGTTCCGGACAACATCAGGACTGACGAGAGCTTGTTCGATTGCTGAGGTGTCTCGATGAACACATCTGAAGAACAATGACTAGGTTTTAAGATCATATAAAATATTTTTTTATTTTTTTGATGACATTTAGTTTTGCCACCACAGCACTTTTAATTTCCCTTCCACTATAGAAATAGGTATAAAACCTTATTTATATTTTAATTATGATCTGTGTCAGGTACATTGAATTTTGCAACTACCAAAAATTATTTTGTATCTTGTATGATGTAGTAAATAAATGTGAATAGATAGGTTTCATTCAATATCATATTCCAAGCAGTTACAAGACATGAATAATTCTCCTCCAGATTATTTATAATTTTTCTCAGCTAAATTGCATAAATTTATAGTTAGCGAAAACAAAATTCGAATGCATTCACAAACATTATTGTTGTACCCAATTATGGGACACAAACCGGTTGTTGTTCGATAGTAACATTACGGCACAAAGGAATGCGAAATCAAAACAGTTCGACCCACTACATTATTATAACATTCATATTGGAATGCAACAATGATTTCCAATTAAAATCCAACTGGAATCACCCAGTGGGAACTTTTCATCGTGTTAATTGAACCATACAGTGAGGAGCTAGTATCTAAGGCTAGAAACAGTTATTTTAGCGTAACTTTTACTCACGTTTACCTTGCGAACTCGTCTCGTTGAAGAAATCACACGAAGATCACTCAACTATGCAACTGACAATCGATTTCGAATGTAAACTTTTTCCGTATCAACATCTCATTTAAACACACAAATTCATCGAAACAAAACACCTGTATTTTTCACGCGAATGCACAAAAGTTTATTCACGATTCAAAATTCGAACCACGGCACACCTTTTATCACTCTCAATGGGTACTTTATTGAGTACTTTCGAAAATCACAGAAAAGTTTGAGGAATTTTATTTGTTTAGTTAAAATGGCACACCAAAATATTAACATAAAAGTACACAGATTTTTTTATTAGAATCTACATGAGAAAACACGGACCACAAATTTGAGACACGAGACCTACAACGCGCGCGCGTCGCGAATGTAGTCGGTAAATAAACTGGTTTTTTGATTTCAATTTGTTGAACATAGTGACTAGGGAGCGAAGGTAATACGTTGCAGTCACTGAAGTGACTCAAACAACATATCAAAACTATTACTGTCCCACTCTAACGCATGTTTTCTATGAAGCGAAACAAAGATAGCGATAATTTGTAGTACAGGTTTATAGTATGCAATGTGCAACTCTGTAATGAAATGGTTTGTCTGTATTTTTAATACCTATTAGAACAATTTCGTCAAGCTATTTATTTTATTAGTCATTACGTTTTCAGTAACTTTCTTTAGGATCGCTAGGACACAGAATTCACTGGTAAATTAATGCTGCACCCAAGATTTCAGAACGAATACTAACGTTCCTTTACGCGCAGCAAGTTACAAACTAAAATTGTGTGTGCAACAACCCAGAATCTTATTTTTAACTTATTTAATGTATAACGTAAATGCAGTAACCAAAATCACATTTATTACGCCGTTAATTAATTAAAAATTTCGATACAACCTTAAACTCTATAAATATTACTTTACCTTTGCCTTCCCTTGTGGAAATTAAAAAGCAGAGACATGATAAGTACTTTTCTAGGCATGGGTAAACAGCAATCTAAAAAGCCTCGCTGCTTGCTGATCATACGCTTACGGCATTTTCACTATTTTCGACACTGACGCTGAACCGAACATAATATTGTTTTAATTATTTACACTCAAACGGTAGTTGTAGCTTCTAAAATTATTTAAAGTGGTTCTTCTCTTCTCAATCTCTCTCTTTTCCTCCATTGCATAGAAATAAAATAAATGTATTAATACACCAACGAAGAATTATTTAGAAAAATTGACTGCACTTGTACTACTAACAGAGAAAAAAGTCAGTTAGGTAGTTGATTTACTAGTGTTAAGCTTTTTATATTAAATTATAGTTCTTTCAGTGGTTCCAAATCCAAATGTAATTTGTAGGTACATATTATTTAATTACAATACTCCAATAGCTCGCTAGTTATACCGGGAGGCGCGGATAACTCTTTTGAACTTGTAGGTACCTAGGTATTTCTAGAAAAACAATCATAAAGGTATTTGCTAAAAAATAGGTATTAACAATAAATTTTAAAGATTACATAGTGAAGACCGAATAAATAGGTAACTCCGTTAGTCGGACGTCTGCGAGGTCATGCGTCTATTTCGGTACCCACGCTGCCAAGCCGATTGGTCGGCTGAAAGGTGCAAGCATATTGTAATTTTGTTAAATATGATATTTGGTACCTATCTATCACTACATCAATAAATAAATTCCAGTGAACTGTGTACGAATTGCTCGCAAATCTTTGCCAAAGGAATATTGTGTGTGTGCTACGTTCTTACTATACTAAACGTCTTGATAGTGATTATTTGTGATGAAAATACGGACCATTATGACAGAGAAAATGGTTATTAATATGTTGTTGGTGGTGCTTCTTATATTATGCCCCATTGTCTGTAAGTAATATTCAATTCTTTACGGCTATGTGATTTAAGGCACCTACACTTTGGCAAAACGTTTCGTAATAATCTGACTTTGCATAAGGCAATAACCTGAGGTGAAATGTATTATGCTATGATTGAGTCCGATTTATAAGATGTTTTAAAGATATGCCCGTCTCATATTGTTCTTTTTTCACTGTAGGTGCAGATGACGGCCCTCCAGAGGATGGAGTAAGTATACATTATATAAAACAATAAAGTACCTTACTATTTTGATACATTCAAATCTTTCAGTTACAAATGGAAAGGCAGCCAATTTTTTATATTTTATATTTTTTATATGCTATTATCTATTTACTATATATCCCGATATATGTAGGTATGTATCTATATAGTATTGTTTTTAAATATTCCCCGTACCTATTTTGCGCAGATTTTCCACTTGACCCAAAGGTTGATTGGTAGAGAATGCCATATGGCATTAAGTCCGCCTTTTGTACCAACTTCATTCCACTGTGTACAATAAAGCATAAATAAATAAACAAATTAAACCGGCCAAAATAATTATGAATTTCTATTTTTGTATAAGATGTTTTTTTTTCAGATACAGGACATTTATTTGCAACAATACCCATCGACTTGCCACGTAAAATGTGGCTGTGAAGAGTATGTATCTACTTTATATACGTTAAAAATATATAAACTGTTTCGCTACCATTTGTAAGAAAATATTTAAAACAATATTCTTTTTTCAGGATGTACTTTTATGATTCGGCTACCGACAGATGTTTAATCAATTTCACAAGAGTATTTAGAAAAGTTGTTACAAATTACGAGAATCTTGGTAAGTTTCGACAAAACTAATAAAAATAAACATCCATTTGTTTCCAATTCCCATTAATAATTTCCGCTTCTCACACAGAGATACATTTATCTATATACAGCCTATACATTTATTTAATAATCTGCTAGTACCTATTGGTACATGGCCACAATATGTTTTCCTCTCGCCTAATGTCAGGCGACCACGACTGATGATGGTCCAAATGAAACTCGAGAGATATACCTAAGTGTTCATTTCGAAGATTCTTGTTGTTTCTTCAACCAGATGCAACGGAGTACCAATAAGTATCTAGGTACATAAATCTCCATTTTGTGTTTGATGGTAGTGTAGTAGGTACCTCTCCAGTTGAGTCCGTCTATTTAAACCGCATAAGGCAGTTAGGGATTGTTTATTGGGGAGCGAATCGACTAATGATTTCTGCTGCCCTCTAGGTAGGGCAAGTGACCAAGAGAGGGTGTCAATCTCTTACTGACTACTAACCACCACGTTCATTGTTCTGTTCGGTGCCGGAACCACAATACATTATTACCCTTGCATCCGCAACCACAGCTAGTAATCGGCCATCTGTGGTGGTCTGATAGGTCTTTAATGCCCGGTTCCTATATTTAACGAATCGTCGTTGTACACGCAATAGGACCAAATGACATTACGAATGGTTATCTTGACCGTCTACTGACTGTTAAAATATTTATAGGAACACACAGACACCATAGATCTCCATACAATTCGCTTACCGATATCCGTTAGTTGCAAACCGTCAGTAAGTTGCACGACGAGACGTTTATTATAGGAACGGTTTTAGTGTACGCGTCGTATATAAAACTACTATTCGTAATTAAAACGGATCGTTTCTCAATTATAGGAACCGGGCGTAAGTCGCGCACGGAGGGAACTATAAGCTCTAGCACTGTAAAAACCAGTTTGGAACCTTATTTTGGAAATAGGTTACCGTTAAGTTCAATTCTAGTTTCATAACGATATAGAAGCTAAATACTAACGAATTTTATTTTTATATGCAGCAAGTACTTTCGAATATTTCTATGCAGATAATAAATAGCTGTTTAATTTTGCAGATGTCAATAATTTACCCGATGATGAAATGGCAAGTAAGTTACAGAGTTTTAAATTCAGTATTTTTTTAATAAAATAAAAATTAAAAAAAAAATTCAGTATTTTGTGACCTTGATCTTTTTTGATAATATTAAAATTAATAAGTTACTTTATTTGAAATAACCCACTGTTCATAATATAACGAATAAACGCAGCAGGAGCGAGTCGGTACAAAAAAAACTAATCGACTGGCATGTATCCTGGAAATATGATAATTGATGATTTGACTGCCCGGTTGGCGCGGTATCTCGGCAACTGGCTGCCGCATAACGTGCCCCGGGTTAGATTCCCGCTCGGAATAACAATTTGTGGGATTTGATCCCGGTCTGAGTGTGTTGTGTAGGTGTGTGAAATTGTATGTCTGTAAACGCATCCACGACACAGGAGAAAATCCTAGGGTAGCAACGTTTAAAAAAAATAAAAGTGACAATGGCAACCTTTCTAATTTTTATAATAGGTAGCTTCTTAGGACTACACTATAGAACAACATAAACATTTAGGTAAACAAAGAAATCCTAGATATATGTTATAAGAATAAGCTAACACGAATATTGGTCTTAGGAATGTGATGTCTACATTACATTCGCTACGACCAATACCGTGTATTATAAAAACGTTTTTCTATTTTTTCAGAACTGCTCTACATTGAAAGTCAAAACATATTTAAAGGAATTATGATCTCAGTTTTCTTGTTTATTTTGTGTGCAGCAATCTGTGTTATATCGGCGTGTATTTATTGCTGTCGTATAAATTACACGTAAGTGTCGCATATATTACCCGTACCTAAGTGTAGGAGAGCCAAGCATTGGCACGAATGGGTCGGTTCGACCGGAGTAATACCACGGTCTCACAAACAACCAGCGTTTAAAAGATCACAGTGACATATTTCGCCGTGTAAGTGAGTGAGTGAGTAACGTAGGCCCAATCCTTTCCCTAACCCCATCCGTCCTTAATTCCTTATTTTCCAAAAGGAGGGCAAAGTTAGGCCCAATCTTTCCCCTAACCCCATCCGTCCCTAATCCCTAATTTTCCAAAAGGCCGGCAAAGCACTCGTAACTCTTTTGGTGATGAACACCACACCTCATGAGCAAAACCGATTGCTTACCATCAGGTACCTAATCCGTACGCTCGTTAGCTGACCCATGACACCGCATAAAAGTACGAGCAATACCTTTGAGCTCATTGAAATAATTAATTCAAGAAATATTGCAACTGCAAGTTTAAAATAAATAGATATAAGAACCTTATAAGTATTTACTTTTCAGGGACCGGAGATTGAAACACAATGTAAAGGCATTGGCCAAAAAACTTAATACAGATTACAAAACTAAGAAACCTTCAGGGAACAGACCACCTGCTCGACCGCTATCACAGAGTTGCAATGTTGTAGTTGAAGATGCAGGAGTTTTTGTTGTTTAGTTTTAATAAATGAATATTATATACATATTTAAATTTATATAAAAGTTACAAATTGCTTATTCAAAACTCTACCTAAGATGTCGAAATTATACTTATATGTATAAAACATATAAGTATAATTTTCCTACAAAAAATATATTATTTTTACTTTTGAATACAATCAAATATTAAAATTTTGTACTCTTATTTATTTATTTGGCGAATTTTTTTTCAGAAACAATTTTTGTCTTTAAAACATTAGTCGTATTGTTGCAATCTCATACAAATATGAGGCTGTTCTTTATTGACTTGTCGTTAGCAGCGAATAATACAACGTGCTTATTATTACCAATTTTAGTTAAATTATTTATTGAGTTTTTCTATTGTGTGTTTTGAGAGGAAGCTGTAAAATATAACACTTTTATCCTCTTTCTAATTTTTTAGCTTTTCAAATTGACGAGGAGAAACCTCCTACCCTCTTAATATTCTTACCTACCTACCATTGGGCCATAAACTTATTCCAATAGTTTCGCTTCTTCACGACAAACTAGATTCTGAAAGGCACTACAGCATTAATAAGGACCAAGGACTGATTATATTTTATGGGACTCTCTCGACTGTTGGGTAGCGGCTAAGTGTGCTGGCTCAAAATAATGTAACATCAATCTCTGAATTTAATACTCCACCACGAGCATTGTTATAATTGTAATAATCTAAAGCAGCACTATTTGAGACTCGATTGCCAAAGAAATGAAAGAATCGTTTATGATATTTCACCAAAAGTATTTAATTTGACTAGTTTGAAACTACCGGATCATGGTAGCTCATAATTATTTTATGACACAGTCTACGATTACAAAAACAAGCTTATTGTACATTTATTTATTTTGTTTAATTCTTTCTGAACGAGTCAAATAATGTCTAGGCAAGTAATTCTATTGGCTGGCACAACACAAAAATAAAATACCCTTCTTGGCTTAGATTATAAACCTTATAATCAGAGTGGTAAAGTAACAAGTTGTGTGTATTTATTTGGCATTGACATTTCCTTTTAAAATTGTCAAATTTGTCAAAGTCACTATCGAACCGAATGTTTTCGTTTTACTTCGCCTCAATTTTGGTGTTTCCAACCGTAACCTAAACGTAGTGGTTACATACTCTTTGGGTGTTTCAACCAACCAGTTTATTCTTGTGGCGTAGTTTTCCATAATATATCAATTAATTCTTGGTTACTGTAAGTGGTTGTCGTTGAAAAGTGGTTTTAAAACTGTGGGTATTACAGTTACAAGTATTTTAATATTAAAGTAATAATTATTCACGATGTCAATATTTAATAACTGTAGAGTCAATATTTTTAGGATACCTATTTTCAATATTTTTCATTAGATTGATTATGAAATTTTGAAAATTATTAGCTCTATGATTCACAAGGCGATGTACATATAAAAATCTCGATACAACTGAACATTTATTATTGGAATTATAGTGCGCCCTTTATTATTTTTTCAGCCGGCGATTAAAACCTGTTTGGTCACAAACATGATGGACGGCAGCCTGATGGATATGGTGATTACTACAGTAGGTGTTCTACTGACTATGGCTTTGTTGAGCTGTTTATGCTGCATTTGTATGAAGTTCAGGTTAGTAAATAATTCAAGAAATCTATACTAAAAATATTACAAAATTAAAATGTTTTGTATGTTTTGTTAAAGGAGTCATTATCCAAAGATATCAGTGTGAATAAAAAATATTTATTTTTGGATAGTTAATAACTAAAAATGATTGAAGTCATTGGAAAAATGGAAAAAGTGCCTATAATGAAATAAAAAAAGAGCAGCTACTATCTTATGAATTAACAGTATAAGTAGTCTAAAAAAAGATTTTAAAGTGTCATTGAATGTAGCCATTTTTAAATCAGAAAAGTTTACACTTCAGGAATAAATTCGTCATGTATTGTCCCCTTAATTGAAACTTCCTACAGTCATTCGTTGGAAACGCCTTGAGCATAATATGCAAAACTATTATCTTGTCATCAATCTCAATTGAGTTTCTTTCTTGTTATTAAGTAATAAAAACTATTACAGAATAACATTTAGAATTCTAATAGAATTATACTCATCATCTTTTTTTACATTCTTTTAAATATTGTATATATTTTTAAGTATATAAAAGAGATTGTACTTAGATATATCTACATCAAATAATTCACAGAAAGAAGAATCATTACATTATATTTAACTGACATTCATTATCTTAAATTAAAGTTAATTAAATTTTAGGCCGCCTCAGAGCCTGCAGAATTTAATTGTACCAATTGTTTTTTTTATGTTTTCCCAGAAGAAGAAGGAACTTAAAAAAAAACCTTTTGCGAAAAACCCTGAATAGGCACTTAACTATATTATTTATATAACTACATAGAAATATAATGTAAATAAATATAAGAAATAAATTAAACTAAACACACAATAAAACAAACAAGTCTATACTTTCGAATACCATGTGTTTTGGTAAGATACGAAGTATCCACTGTAAATTCATAAACCTCCATTAATCACAAGTTTCTTATCAAAACAAATTTTCCTATTTCAGTGACCTGAAATTAAAAAGCTACGTAATAGAAATGGCGAAGAAGAGAGGAGTTAAAATGGATATAGATAAACTCGAACACAAATACAAGTCTTGTCAAGCACCAAACTTAAATGAAAACTGTACTATTGTGGTACCCGATGTTGTTTATGTGCTTTAGCTTCGTATCAGCTTAATCACAAACATCTGGACTATATGGAAGCTTCATAAGAAAAGGCTCGAATGATAATCATGTTTATGGTGAGTTTCATAATTGATCTAGCCTTACTACTTCCAGTAGTTCTAAAAGTCTTCATGCTATATGAAGAGCTACCAGTTTGACTGATTCATTTACTATTATAGTTTTTTAATAATACAGTGCCATCAAAATTGTTTGTAATGTATAATATACAAAATGAAAATAGTACTTGCAATTTTTTCTTATGTGTATAGTGATTTAGATGGATGGGTTTTGAATTGTGTGAAAGCATTAAAGGTAGGAAAGGAAAAGGTCTTTCGTTAGGTACTGTTTTATACCCAACATGGCAAAGTAACAAGCTCATGTCATTTTGTTCCGTCTGATGCCCAATATTAAGAATCTTATGGTGTTCAATGATTGCCAAGAATTATTATATTATGTACATTGAAAAGAATAACTTATTTAATGTGGTTTAACAGAGATAATTAAATGTTCTCTTAGCTAGCAGTGCCTAAGCTGTTTTTGAATAGGTACTCAAGGAATAAATCTCAAACAAATCTCAATAAATTTTGTGTGCAAGCTAATCATAAATAAAAGGCCTAATGTGGCCTGAATCCAGTTGAGCTTATCTCAGCTAATTCACGTTAGAAAATCGTTATTTTCAATAAACATAGTGTGCTTCAAGATACTAGTACTAGATACCAAAAATATTTTTGTATATTATTCTAATGTAAAAATAGTAAGTAATTATTATTTATTCCTTTAATTGTTTATTTAAATACTCATTCCATTTAAGTATTTTGCCTAAAATTAGTTTTAACATTATACATTTATAATATTTCATATTCTATAATTTAATTTATTTTATATTCTATAATTTTATTATCAATATTTGGTCGATATTTTAGACATAAATTCTGGATGAAAATAATTACCTATGTATTAAAATATTTGTTTATAAATGCGATTGTAAATGACAGTTCTTGAATTATACATAATGACACTTCTTGAATTATATAAAACATGTGATTGTAAATTTCTTTATATAATTTCAATCAATCAAGACTGCACTAAAATAAGGTTTTTTTTTATTTCACTAATTTCATTTTTTTTATTTTGTTGCCAAAGTTCCTAACTTACGCTCCGATTTGTAGTGGTATACAGTTAATATTTATAATTTATTTACTCGTTTCCTTTAAGATTGATGAAGAGTATTATTTGTTTGTTACTTTTTTAGATACTACATTGATAATATAATAAATTAAACATAGTTATTTAAGTACTTTCAATAGAGTATTTGCACCTATAAATTCTTGCAAAATATTTGTAAAATCAAAGATACAAAAATGTTACAGTAAATATTATTATTATGAGTACTACATTATAGTAATGTAAGGTAGTGTTCAAATTGTATTATTATTAATGAATATGTAAAGTATATATTAATAACACATCATAAGTGAATTCATGCTTAAAATTAAAGTAGAATATTAAATTATTCACACTTAAATATGGATGTTGACTTGGTCAAAAATTATGTTTTTTAATAAATAAATCTATTTCAGTTGAGGACAACTCGCTGCTGTGTAACGTGTTGAGGGTTAGATTCCCGCACCGAACACAAAGTGTAATCCATTCATTGTTGTTTCGGGTATGAGTCTTGTGTATAGAAATTAGTTTTGTAAACGCATCCCCAACACAGAAGAAAATCCTAGTATGGGGCAATGATTGTTTTCAACTAGCTAGAAAGAATCATAGTGTCATTGATTGATTTAAATTTGAGTTTTCTTTTTTAAGAGAAACAAATTATTACATTTAAGTAAAAAATTATGACAGCACAATTTAGCAACCCACTAAAAATTTAGAGAAATATATTGTTCCTGATGTTAAAAAAAATGTTGTGGCTAGTTTTCATCATCCATATTAAAATGTTAATGATATTGCTTTATATGAGTAGCAGGTTATTTAAACTTTCACCGGCATTTGAAAGTTTATGAGATACAATAGAAAATTAATTGTGTCTCACTTAGATCTGCATTCGCATACCAAGTATTAAAATATACAACTAAGAAGCCTAATTTAAAAGTTATTGTCAAAAATCTATAATCGATATAATCTTTAAAACTTTACACTTTTCTCAACAAAATAATGAAATAAAAAATGGTTTGTGATAAATATATCTGAAGCTTTATATGACTAACGATGAAAATGTATATTTGTATAATTTTTCGGCTAGATGGGACGACATGATGTAGTAGATACCTATTGAAAATATTTTTATATCCT